GGTCTTCCCATGCACACATTTTATTTTTCTACCTTAGTGGGAGAAACATGGTTTATGAATAAACAAGATAGACAATAACTTTTCCTTAGAGAGTGGAGGGTTATGTTCCGCATTTCCCCCCGATCATGGTTTATATCTAGATGCCGCCCAAGTGTCTCTGAGCACTCTCATGTGTTCAAAGGTGGGCTTCTGAAAGGTGACTGGATTGAGGGACCATCACGGCTGACTTTAGGAGGGGGGGCGTGACTGGAAGAGGTGGCTCACTGGGCGTGCTCAGGAAGGGTCTCTCTTCCTTGTTGGCTCCTGCACTGACTTTCTCTGCTTCCCGGCCACTTCATGAGCCGCTTTTCTACTGCCGTGACCCTGTTCCATGCTGTTCTGCCTCGGAGCCAGCTCACTACAGGCTGAAATGGAGCCAAAATAAACCTCTCCTTCTTTAAATTGCAGGTGTCAGGTACTGTGGCTCAGCAAAAAGAAAATAACTAAGGCACATTTTGGTACCAGAAAGGTGGAGTCATCGCCATGATGCTACCTCCAAGTGATTCAGAAGCCTTTGGAAGTGGTTTGTGGAAGGAGTTGGAAAAGGTTTGGAGATGCCATCTGGAAAATCAGTCCAGCATACTGAAAGCAAAGCATGATAAGAGGTTCTTATGGGAGCTCAGAAGACCAAAACACTGATTAAAAAAGTAAAGAAGTAGAGGGTAAAGACCAGGTTCACGTTTCAGTTGGAAAGAGGACTCCATGGCATCTGGACTTGAGATCATGTGTGTATGTTATTTCTGTCAGAAAATGTGTCATTTTATTCATGACCTGAGACTCTAGGAGAGGCTGAGATTAAGGCTGGTGGACTAATTGAGAAAATTTCAAGGTAGCCCAACATTCAGGCTGTGGCATGGGTACTGCTGGGGGATTTTAACAAGCTCTACATTGAGAACCAAGAGCAAATGGCACAGCTGGGTGGTTTTTAAAGCTCTGAGTTTCACCAGAAAGGAAACTCCTGTAAAGGTGGGCCCTGTAAAGTTGAAGCAGAAGAGCTTGGTTACCGAAAAGATTAGTATTAAAAACAAAACAAACACTTCACATGGGAACAATAAAAAAGATGCCTTGAAGGCACAGGAGGAAAGAGCCCACCTTTCACAGACTCTGGGTAGAAAAGTTAAAGACTATTTTGAGAAGACCCTCAGGGCCTCCTGCTCCAGAAAGGCCACCTAGGAAATTAGCTTCCTAGGATTCCATTCACAGTGCTCAGCCATCCAGTCACTTAGAGGTGCCTCCAGCCACGATCCAAAAGGGCCTGGCTACTGCTGGAACCAGCACAGACCTTGGTCATTCACGTGATCACTCATTCATTACACACATGCAGAATACAAGAATCATGCAGTTATGGAGGTTTCCACCCAGATGTCGGAAGAAGGCCTAGCAGGCCAAGCAGTACATGCCTGATGGGGCGGTGTGGGAAGCTGTGAGAGTGAAGCCAAAAATATAGTGGAGACTCCAGGAAGCTGGAGAAGCCAGGAATGCATCATGTCTGAGGAAAGCCACAAGGAGCAGGCAAAGCTAGCCTAAGAGAGAAGTTAAAAGGGATATAACCTCTGGCAATGCTGTAGGGGCGGGGTGGAGTCTGTAGCTTGCCATAAGTTGCTCTGGGTGCTAGATACAAAACTACAAAATTTAATGTTTGCCCCCTACATTTTGGACTTGCTTTGGTTCCCTTGCTTTCTATCCTCCTTTTCCTCCCTTTTCTAATGGGAATATTTACCCTATGCCATTGTATTCTGGTAGCGTTTACTTTTCTGTCACAGGAGTAGAGGCCACTATGAACTGATCTGTAGTTCAGGCTGGCCTTGAACTCATTATGTATCCTAGGCTGGCCTCACACTTGTAACAGTCCTCCTGCCTCAAGCCTCTCAAGTGTTGGGATTATAGGAAAAGTCCAACTTCTCTAAGAAGCTGGACTTCTCTCCCTAAACATATATATGTGCACAACATTTCTACACTCTGGGCAAGAGGAGTCCAAGACAACTGCCACAGCCCATGTCTCACAAGATTCTGAGATGGGGTCTATGCTCCCTAAGAATCAGAGGACCTCTGATCTAACACACTGTAGGCATCACCACCACCCCAGAAGGGGGCCACACTGCCAAGTCCCCCCCATCTGGCAGGGTCAGCTGAGTGGGCTTGCACGCCTTTTGAGGGTGGGACACAGAAACCCAAAGCCTGCCCCTGACTTCTCAAACAGGAACATCAGCTCCAAGCTGCAGATGCCCACACGCGGGTCCAACCAAACCTCCCAGTGTGACCCACTTGCGCTCTCTGTCCTCTTCCTCTAGCCTGATATGCTTGAGCCTGACCCAAACTCCCAGCCCACTGGGTAGCATCCCATAGAACCAAGGGGTAGAACCAACACAAAATAGTTGCAACACTACTGAGTCAGAACCAGGCAGAGGTGGAAGCCACCAGGAGACAGAGCCAAGTGGAGGGGCAGCCTGAGCACAAAGGAGCCTGACAGGAGCCTGACGCACACACAAGCTAACCCACGTCCCTCCCGTCGGCCTCACTTCTTTACATGAGGCTCGACCTAGATCACTTCCGATCCCTTCCAAGCTAGAACTCTTTTTTCTTTTTGTCTTTTCACCATGATTTTTTAATAACTGAGCACACTGCATGTAGTAAGCCTACAATAAGTGTCTTCTTACTATACAAACAAAAACGTCAGTGTATTTTAAGACACACTTGCTTTCCCTCCTGGCTATTCTTCATCCCATTTTAACCCCTCTGTAGCACTGAAAGTGTTATTCTTCCATTTGCAAAGAGCAAGTCCTGCACTGGGAAACTACCTGGGGGTTGTCCTTGGAAACAGGCTCCCTTTTCTGAGCTGAGTCTTCATTTACAAGAGGAGGCGGTGGGGTTCTGGGGCTTGATCACCCAGGGTCACTCAGATAAACCTAGAATTCTGAGCAGTGACATCACAGAATGTCCAATAGCGCTGGCTGCCTGGGTTCAAATCCTCGCTCTGCCACCACCTGTGAGACTTCGAAGAGCAGAGCCTCTAACGACCTCAACTTCTTATTCTTAATTTGGGAGGAAGAGGACACTGACTCCGGCGGTCTTGGCAGGTCTCAGTGAAGACAGATCCCTCCTGAAGTGAGGGCTTGGGGAGTTCAAGGGGCTCCCGCTGCCACTTCCCTCAGGCTCCCACATGCAGTAAGTCCAGTGACCACCCATCTTTGCCATATGCATCTGGCCTTCACTCTCACGGAGAGGCCCCAGCTCCCCCAGGCCCAGGAAGTCCACAGCATGCACATGCTGGGGGCCTCATCCCTGCTTTCACAGTCAGCTGAACCTTGGCATGCTGAGCAGCGGGTACGGTCGCTGAGACAGGACGAGGAGGCAGGCAAGGAGTGGCGTGCAGACAGCGAGGGATGGTGAGCCACACACCCCGAGACCAAGCAGCCCACGCCGGCCATGCCGGCTCCTTACCTCCCCTGCAGGGTCTCTGAGCACCAGGACCGTGTTCCCCCAAGGAGCCGGAGGCATGCTGGAAGGAGTAGAGAGCAGGAGACAGGAAGCAGTACGTACTGAGCCGGCCTGACAGGAGACTGACAAGGACACTCACGGGAGGAGGCGCTTGGTTCAGAGCGTCACCACAGAGACCCAAAAGACCCAAGTGGCAAACAGAGGAAGATCACCCCAAAGCTGGCCCGCGCACAGGCACAGGGCAGAGAGGGGGCGAGCGGGCAAAGGGGGTGAGGTAAGGAGAAGACCCCAAAAGACGGCATCCTGGATGGGCACCACCCCCCTGCAGACTGGCGCCAGCTCTGCGTAGAGCAGCTAACCCGGCAGAGCTCCTGGGACGGTGTGAACTTTGTAACGGGGAGGACCCAGGAACCTAGCTCCACCCTCAGGAAAGCCCCTCCGCCAGAGCCAGGGAAGGTGAGCGGGGGCGACGCCCTCCAAATACGTCCCGGCCACTATCACCCAGGTGGCGGAGAGGAATGTGCGTGTGTGCTGGGGCCTGGAGGGGCCAGCATCGGAGGGTGGGAGTTCTAGTCCTGGCTCCACCATGAATCTGGGCAAGTTCAGGTGATGTTACAGAGCCTCTCTGGGCCTCAGTTTCCCCATGTATGGAAAATGTCCCTATCAACAACACAAAGTATGTCCGCCATACACACTCTATCAGTGCCAGGCAACAAATGCCACTGGGCCATAGGTGGCATTTCTAGACTTTCCCAGGGGATTGGTTTGTGCCGGAAGAAAGCGAATGTCCAAGACTGCCGGTACAGCCTGGGCAGAGGGGCACCCGCGACCTCCCTCCTACCACGGCCCATCCTCAGGCCATCCCAGGGCTTAGAGCCCGAAAGCACAAAGGCGGGGAAACACACTAGGGGGCCAGTTCAGTGGCACTCTTTCCACAAACGGACCTTCCCACAGTCCCCTCATGAAATGCCTATGTCCTCAAGCTCCCTGCAGAGTGCCCTTTGCCCTGAGGAGGCTATGCGCTCCTTCAGGCCAGGAGCCGTTTACCGCTGGGTCCTGGCAACCCCTCCCTGGGAGTGACAGACGCCTCCACAGCGCTGAGCACCAACATACAGCTACAGAGCCAGTCTGACAAGCAGAGGGCACACTGCTCAAGTCTTTCTCAACCTGGCCACACAACCCGGCCGGGTCCTCCTGGTCCTGGGAACCCTGGGAGGCTAACCCTATCTTACAGATGAGTCCACTGAAGCTAAGAAAGGAAAAGCGGCTTGTTCCAGGGCACACAGCTGGGCAAAGGGTTGCAGACAGAGCCTGGGTGAGAGGTCCTCTGAGAGCCGTCCAGTCGTGCCGGCCCTGGACACCCGCGTCTGGGCCCAGCCCAAGGCTGAGTGCACACAGTGCCCTGCAGGCCCACCCTCAGCAATGCCGCCGCTCCCCTTGGCTGCCACGCACTCCAGGTACACGGGGCCAGAGAGGAAAGAGCTGGGCATGGTGTGGGAGCCCGAGCCGGTGGTCACAGCTACCTTTGATGACAAGCGCCTCCGACAGCAGCCGCATCTGATACAGGGGCTTGTTCTCCACAGAAAGATCATCGATCCCGGCCCGCGCGTACATGCTGATGGCGTCTCGGTAGGAGCCCTCCACGTAATGCAGCTTGCCCAGGATCAGCATGGCCTCACACAGGTACTGTGGCTGAAAGGACAGTGCCAAGTTAGCAGGCTCCACCCCAAAGCTTCCATCCCACCCCTACCCAGGACCCTGGGGTAAGAGCCCCTCTCAGCCAGAAGCCGTGCTTTGCCTAAGACCCCGCTCAGAACCGGCCCCTTCTCCAGAAGCCTCCGGAGGTCCCCGCCCTCTCTCCACTCCTGTGCTCCATGGTCACATGCTGGCTCTTAGAGAAATGCTTATGTGACCCCGGTTGTTCGCATGTCTAGAATCTAGGCAGCTGCAGCCGGGGCCCTGTCTCTCTCTTCTGAGACCCCAAAGGCCCCATCCCAGGCTGGCACTCAGGAATTCTGCACTTACTCTAAACACGAGTGCGGGACTGGGACTGAGCCGAGAGCTGTGGGCTCTCAAGCTTATACTTTGGGAGTCGTGTTTATGCACATACATACACAGGAACAAGTACACGACAGGTGACAGGCCTCAGAAGGAGCCGGCGTGACGCAGCAGGACCTCTGTGGGGCGGAGCAGCCGCATTCCCAGCATGGGACAGAAGACAGGAGCAGAGGGCCTGCTGCGTCACCGTCCTCCTCTTATCAGAGCTGGGGGAAAGCGCTTTCTTTCCCGTTTTATCAAGGTCACCTGTGCCTACCCCAGCCCCGGGACTTTCAGGGCCTCCCCAGGGCCTCCAGAGGTCTGGGCTGGCCTGGCCACCCCTACCCTAGTAGCCAGTGCTACTGACTGAGGCAGCTGAGCTGGCCCTGAGCTGGGCCACCCCATCCACAATTCTGCCTTCGATGCAGGCCCAGTCCCACTCGGGTCTCCCGCCTCTTCAGGTCCTGGCCTCCACCCGTGCTCAACCAGCCCACAGTCCCCTGCCCCTGCCATGGTGGCACCAATCTGTCCGTCCTCCCTCGCTGGCAGGAAGGAACTTCCTATGAGGAGGTAAGACTAAGAGGTAGCTGTGGCCCCAGAAGCAGGTTCCATCCCTCCCATCACCTGCTGCCTTCTAAGACCACAGCAAAGCCAGCCCTGGGAAGCCACGTTTTCCTTCCCCGCTGGTCTCTGATTTTTGTTAACACTCATTCCTCTGTTGCCTGTGCCCGCTAGGCCCTTCTTCTCAGCCTGTGCCACGCTCTCTGTCCTTAGGACTGGCTCAGGCCCACCTCCTCCAGGAACCGCCCCCCATATCCAGGGAACTTCTCTTGCTGAATTCCTACACAGGAAGGGCCCGTCGGCGTCAGCACACCGACCTGCTCTCACTGACCGCTGATTAACTCTCAAAGGCTGATTTTTCAAGGGTATCTGCCAGTGTCCCCTAAGAGGCCACCCACTTCCCGGGCCAGGGCCACGGATGACAGAGGGATGCAGCCCACAGTGCTTTTGAGCTGGGCAATGACTCTGCCATTTTGCACACTGATCTCAAGCCACAGGCTGACTTCCTCCCTGCTCGGCCTTGCTTTCCTCTCTGGAGAGGGAGACACAATAACACCCTCACCGCCCACCACAGACGTGCTAAGAGCATTAATAGGGCAAAGTCCTGAGAAAGGAGCTAGATAAGTACGGGGTAGGGTAATTATGATGATTATCCACTCCGCTGAGCACAGGGAGAGGGCAGAGCAGGGCTAGTGGCGGCTCTTGGTGGACCCACGACCACTTTCAACAGAGATTCCACCTGGATGATATGAACAACGCCCTGAATGTTGCACAAAGCTAAATTTATATTATTTAAAAAGCTGCTGTTAGTCATGAAAGTATAACTGTCTTGCCTTCTGATCTTAAGACGTGTTTTTCTCTTCTGAAGCAATGATAATGGTATAGTTTTACTGTTGATTTTTGCTTTTCCAAGGCCCTGACTTAGCAACACTAAACGTCAGCTCCTCTCTGTGGGACCTTGACTTTGCAATGTTCTTGGTCCGTCAGCCCAACAGCCAGCACCTGACAGCCCTGGTCTAGGGGAAACATGCTCTGGGTGGACTGGGGTACCCTGCTGTGTGGATCACTATCGTGGATTCTACTTGGGCCTTACTGTGCCTATCCACAGGAAGGGAAGAATGACCTTGTGGGTATGTGGGAGAAAAGAACAGAAGAAACACTTTAGTTAAGGTGAGACCTATCAAAGAAGAAGTGCCACCATCATCCTTAACCCAGGTTGTCAGTATTTTATGTCTACTCCAGAATTTCCCAGCAACACCAAGAAGTGGCAGACAGCAGCAGAGCTTGGGAGGTAGACACGAATAGGCCTGAGTTTAAGAACTGATGACTTGCTAGTGTGGTCCTCGGCAAAGGGATCACCTCTCTGGGTCTCGGGAATAGGGCTAAAGGAAATACCTTGCAGAAGACAGCTGGGAAGCCTTGATGGGCTGCTGCAACTCCTGGAGTTCAGCGGATAACAGAAGTTACACAGGGGCTTAGTTTCAGAAACCCCCAGAGAACTGGGCTGGACAGGATCTTAGAGGTTTCCCAGAGCTAAGAGTTTCAAGCTACCTGAGGAGGTGCCTTAGGGTCATCTCTCCCTCCCCGCTCCTCCTCATCCGTCAGAACTACTTGGGATGCAGGGAAATCCACCTGAGACTGTATCTGCTGCCAGGAGGAAATATCCCAGGCATACCCCGGGCTTTGCGGGTAAGACAGAGAGACCGAACGAACTCCTTTCAATATTTTATTTTGCTTTGTCCTGGATAACAGTGAATTTCTCCATGTTATTGGTTATATGTATGTCTTTGTTTAATAAAACAGTAAACCTTATATTTAATAAATGAGATTTGGAGGCTGGGTGTGGTGGCACACACCTGTAATCCCATACTTGGGAGGCTGAGGCAGAAGCCAACAGTGAGATCCCAATAAATAAATGAATAAATAAATGCTACATGGTCAGTGACACAGCTCACACAACACATGTGGGGATTATTCTGTCAGTACAAAGGAGGTTCACACAAAGAGAAAACTCCAACTAAAAACTCTTAGCAAAAGAGCAATTTGTCAGACACACGTGCTACAGCTCTGCAGAAAGCTCTGTGTGTGCATTTGTGTGTACACACACACTTGTAAATGCACAAAGAAAGGCACCTGGGACCCACATCCAACAGTGACTAGTGCTCCACTGCAGGACAAGTCAAGGTGGGCAGGCGGTACTCGAAGACCTTTGTCATTCAAATTGCTTGTTTACTGACTGCATTTTCACAGTAGGCCTGAAGTATTTATTTTGAAAAACATTTAAATAAATAGTTCATGGAATCTACTAGAAAGAAACCGAGGTCTTGGTGGGAAAAGCTTGGAACCCATTCATCAAGTCTAACCTTTCCAATAGGCACATCAGCAACCAGCAAGGGGAGGGCCCAGCCAGGTCAGGGGTCAAGCTCAGGGTCAAGTATCTACTTTAACCCAATGCAACCCTCACACTGTTCAAATAATCCCTGTCAAAGAGTTGGAAGCCAAAGTCTCGAACTTCCGCATACTCTCCCATCTCTCCACCCCTCTACCACTTACAAACAAGCCCCACATTCTTGGCTACAGCTCAAGTTCCTGCTCTCTGGCCCCAATGTACCCTTAGAACCTAATTACACACCATGCCCATTTACTTCTGCTAAACTAACCTGCTGCCACGAGATTATTTATAAGAACCCTTCAACCCCATACTGTTTCCTTGGCCTGATATCTTTCTGTGTCCATAACCCACCCCCTCTTTCAGACCCAGGATCACCATCACCCCAAATCTGTTCTCTGTCTCCTCCCAAGAAAGCGGCTCCTTGGGCTCCCACATACCCTATTCCTGCACCATCTGACACAGTCCACCGGGGACAAAGGCTATTCATCTGCTTCTAACACTTACCTTCCTGAGGGCAAGGTCCACACTAGACTCATCTTGGTTGCTCTCACTGTACAAAACACAACGCCCTGTACACAGCAGTTCTCAAGAAAATGCTTAAGGAAGTGAGTGTACTACTTTGGAACATCTCTTGAAAAATTCGTTTTCTCCTATAATGACATCCCCACCCCCCTACTATAGCTCAGCGTACACTTTGATCTAGAACACTCAAACTTTGATGCACACAGGAATAACTGGGAAATCTTGGTAAAACACAGCTTCTGATTCACATTTTGCACTTCTAAGCAGCATCTCAGTGGTGTCCACACTGCTGGTGAGTGGCTCACACTCTGGGCAGCAAAGGCCTAGAGGAAGCTGAGTATACTCCTCTCGGCCTCCCTCAATACCTTGCACACGACAGGCACTCAATAAACACACACAGACTTGAACTGGCCTGGCTTGCTGTATCCTGCAGCTCTTTTGCTGCTGGTCAGCTCTGCTTCCAACTAAGCTCCCTGAGGTCTCACTTCCCGAGAACACCCACGGAGCCCAGACAGCCAGGCACATCTTAGGTCAACCAAGCACACCACCCAACAGAAATATAACAAGTCACAGGCGTAAGCTAGATGTGTAAGTTTAGAAATTCTAATAAAATTTTTGAGATGTATTTAAACTTAAAAATTACGAAATTAATTTTAATAACATTTCCTTTAATACAATATATTCAAGTGATTATTGAATGAACAGGGCCCTTACACTGAATCATCCCCTGCCTTTTTCTGACACAGGGTCTCCCTCAGTGACTAAGTGACCCAGGCGGGCTGGAACTTTTGATCCTCCTGCCACAGCCTAAAAATGACAGGGATGCACTCCCACGCTCCGTGAAGTTAGTGCTCCTTTATATTCCTTGCTTTACACCGAGTCTTCGCACTTCGCAATGTACACTAGCCACACCACAAAGCGAGAAAGAGCCCCACGCAGCGACGGCTAGCTGCCGAGCAAAGCCAGGCCAGCGCTGAGGCAGACTTGTTGCCCAGTGACCAGTGACTCAGGGAGGGTTGGGCCAGCAGACGGGAGCAGGAGAGAAGACAGGAGGCTCCAGGCTCGCAGGCTGACAACTCACCGACAGCCGCCCGTGGTTAAGGACACTGCTCAGGTAATTTTTGGCTTCAATCATCCTGCTCTCATTCTTCTCCAGCAGCGGGATGGAGTCTTTTATTTTGCCTTGGTTCTCCTTCAAACACTGCTCCAGGAGGGCCTCCGCCAGCAACAATTTCCCAAAGTCATCTGAAAAGCAAGGCATGGGCCAGCACGGGCAGTGAGGGCAGCTCCCTGGAGTGATCTGAAGTCCACCTGGACAGAGGCACTACCTCTGGAGCCCCCAGGCACTCCCACCCAGTGTGTGAATGGTGCGCCTTTTCCATAAACTTAAAGAGCAGCTGAAGAACAGCATAAGCGCAGGATAAGCTGCTCCTCGGGGTTTACTGCCTGCTACAGTTTAGTACTTAAAAAGGCAGATTTTCTAGGACTTGAGGACAAATTCCCAGAGTTTCAGATGAAGGACAAAGCCATATCTATGCCCTGCTGTGGATAATAAGTTCCTAAAACCAGAAGAAATTCTCCCCACACTACTGAAGAGGAAAAGGACATTGGGTGGCTTGCTAATGCATTTTCCCAGACTTCTAATGTCCACATAAACATAAACTGCTTTTTCCCATTTGGAGGTATTTTAGTGTGGCTCACGGGCAAACCGGCAGTCCATGCAGAGTGAGGTGCGAAGCCCACGGCCTGGCGCGTCCTGGGAACGTGTTTCCTATGGACACTTGCGGGAGTTCTCTCAGACACAGAGCTCATCTGCACAGCTTACCAGCTGGCAGGCAGCTTCCCACTGCTTGGCTGAATTTGCTATCTCCCTCTGCCACACAGAAAACTCCCGTCTCCTTCACCCATATCCCTGCCACATGCAGCAGAGGTGACTTTTTTTTTGAGCCAGGAGTTCGGGGTGCAGGGTTTGGGACCAAGTGTGGTTTCACAGCTGCTGCGGTGACTATTCAGCGTGTACCCAGCTAGCTCCCTGGGCGGGGACCTGGCCTACCACTCAATGCGAGTGCCCAGCAATTACCTGCTGAATGAATCAGATCCTTTCAACCCCCCAAAGAAACAGCCATCAGGATCAGTGAGTCGAGTGCCTACCCAGCCAGTCTCTAGGGATCTACGCTCAGGCCCATTTTTTCAGTTCAATTTGCAGCCAAGATGCCTCTCTCTCCTCACCCTTAGGATCTCCAAGGTCTGCTCATCTCAAAGCCACCGGTCCAAAACTGCACATTGCCAAGGAGGACTCTCCTCCCCTTAGGAACACTTCCTGCAGAGAGCAGCCCTAATTCTCAGAATCCTAATAGTACAATCCCAGGAGGTTTTTGCTCTGAGAGCATCGGATTCGATACCTTTTGCTACCTACCTCAGGATTTTTAAAATTACATTTTGAGGAAATACCCACAAAATGTCCAAACTCTGATCCACTGCTATCAGGGCACAAGTGAGTAGATCCTTTCTAACGGGCTGTCTGGCAACATAGATCAAGCTTGTCTCTGTGCCTCCCCACTGGCCCAGAAGTCCCATCGCTGCAGGGTCCCTTGCACACCTGTAAAATGAGCTGAGTCTAAGATCCTTCCTGCAGCATTATTCACACCAGCAATAAACAGCACTAGCCATTCTGCCCATCAGGAGGCTAATTAAAGTGTGGGACATGTACAAAAAAGGACGCCACGGAGAGGAACAAGGACACTCTGTGCTTATATGGAATGTACTAAGATCCACTGATAGAACAGCAGAGTCATATGCTACTCTATGTTCGCGCACACTCGTATGTGACGGCGTGTGCACACACACACTCGCACACAGTGGCCCTAACACAGCAAAAGCTTCCCACTCTTTTTTGTACCAACGGAATGTTTGAACCCTGTAACGATATTACCTAACAAAGAATAAATTCAAATCTAACCAACACTGAGAGGCAATCCACATTTCCAACTCTCAGCCAGGAGGAGGGGCAGCTGCCTGGCAGTTTCCAGGGACAGCCTGAGTCTACCCCTAGGCACTAAAGGTTCTCTCAGCTTTGCGTTTCCCTAAAACTCAGGGTAGGTCTGGGCCCGGTGATGCCCTTCTGTAATCCCGGCCCTCCTTCTCGAGAGGCAGGAGGACTGCAAATTTGAACCTAGTTTAGGCAATTTAGTGACTTCACAAGAACCTGTCTGAAAATAATAACTAAAAAAGGGCTCTGGGATGTAGCTCAGGGCGAAGGTCTTGAGTTTAATCTCCAATACAGAAACAAAAACAAAAACAAAAACTCGAGGTAGGCTTACAAGTCTGCTCAGTCCCAGGAAGGGAAATGAACGCCCGCCCCAGGCTCCGCCCCTGGGCAGGTCCTGTTCCTTTGCCCTGGTGCCTTTCAAGCCTTGAGAAGCCGGCTTGCCTTCCTCCTTTTCTCCTTTCCTCCAAATTACGGCTGTCCTCTGAACCTCAGCACTGTGAGCCAGCCCCTAGGGAGGCACTGCAAAACTTGGGAGTGTACGCACAGTTCAAGAAGAGAGTGGACTGAACAATTTCGAATCTAAGGAATGTAAGGACAAAAAAACTGAAGAGGGAGCACTTTGTTTATTTTCCATCTTGCTAGTGCTCCATTTATACTGCATTTTACGAAAGTATGAAAGCACACAGGTTGGGGATTTAAACAAAATAAAACAAAACCTATTCCTCATCACAGTCCCTTTCAGAAGCCCTGCTGTAATCCCTAAGAGTAACCCAGTCTGGGAAAGGAGCGCTAGTATTTTTGGTTAAGGGCTTACAGAGCACCAGGCACTTTATTATATGTTTTTGTTAATCGGCACAGCCCTAAAAGATGGCTATTACTTCCATTTTATAGACTAGACTAAACACAAGAAATATTGTAAGGGTCACAGACAACAACACAGCCAAAACTTCATCTGTCTCTGCTGCACCCCATGCGAGCACAGGTTTGGAGAAGTCAAAAATCAGGAGCGGTCTGTGAACTGCGAAGAGCAGGTTGAAAGCTAATAGCAAACCCCAGGGCAGGGATAAGAACTGTTCTCGCTTTCAGGGACCTGGGAGCCTCAGAGGTTTTGTTCACCCTAACTTCCTGTCCTTGGGTGGGGAGACTTCCTCCCTAGGGTCTCCAGTTGCATCTCTGTCTAGCAGACCCTCAGCAGGTGTCAGAAATTCACTTTCCCTCCTTTCCTCACTCAACTTCTTCCTTCCCGCCTCACCTCTCTCTTCCTTTGTCCTCTTCTTCCCACCCCGCTGTTCTCAACTGACCAGTCTATGGAACTACAGGATATCTGCGGATTAAAGGTTGTACATTTTCAAAGCTGGGCGAGGTTGTGCATACCTGCAATTCCAGCACTCTGAGAGCCTGAGGCAGGAAGATACCAAATTCAAGCCCAACCCGGGCAATTTATTAGTTTAGCGGGACTCTGCCGCAAAATACAAAAATACAAGGCTGGAAACACAGCTCAGTGTGAAGGCCCTGGGTTCAATCCCACTACTGAAAAAAAATCCTGATTTTTCAGTTATTAAGAATCCAGGTGGAGGCCAGGTCAGGCGTGGTGTCGCACATCTATAGTCCCAGCACTCAGGAGGCTGAGGCAGGAGGATCTCTGTGAGTTCAAGAACAGCCTGGGCTACAAAGTAAGCTCAAGACCAGCCTGAACTGCATAGGGAAAGCCTGTTTAAAAAAGACCCCCCCACACCAAAAAAAGAAGAATCCAGGTGGATAAAAGCATCCTCATCTTCCCAAAAGCCAAGCAAGGTGCTTCTTAGCATCCTGCTATCTGAAGCCCACCCCCTGTCCAGTTTGTCCCCTTCCAGGGAAAGGCCTCCAGGACAAACAGTAGAACAACTAACTGTGGGAGTCCAGCACGCCCTCCCCGAACCCTGGCCACAGGGGAGGCCCAAAGGAGGCCTGGCGTGGTGGCTACGCAGTCTCCTCCCCCAAGTCTTGTTTTGAAAGCCTCTGGCAGCTACTTTCCTCCCCTCCCGGCCTCTCTCAGGGTGCCTGGTCCCAGGGGCCCCTTGGAAGCCACCTGCCTCCAGCAGACCTCACAGTCGTCTCTCCCTGTCTACCAGTGTGCCCTCAGGACGGTGACCGTGAAGCTTTTGGAGACCAAGTGCCAAACTGCAACCCAAAACCCACTTATTTATCTCAAAGCCAACACTGCAATTAAACCTGAATAATGAGCTTTTAGTTTAGAAAAACAGCTCTACATCAACACACCACTGCTGTAGGAAATGTGGTCCAGCCAGCCCCGTCCCTCCAGGTCAGGCAGGCACAACGGCTCCTGCAGCTGCTGGGGCCTTCCGACCACAGCCAGGGGAGGAACAGGCCCAAACTCTGCCTGCCTCCAACACGCCCCTGCTGACTTGAACTGTAGAAAGTCTCCAACGTTAAAAAAAAAAAAGAGCTAAAAATAAAATGAAACACAAAGATGTGGTGACTAGAGACGAAGAGAAACTCAAGAGGGACAGAATCTAGGTGGGGGTAAGCAGGTGTGAACTGCAAAAGTTTCTGATTTCTGCTCTATGTTTGAAATGAGTACAATATTGGAAATGGTTTCAATTCAACAACCAAATGCAATGTGTGACCTTATTCAGATCCTGACCAACTACAAAATTTAATTGCTAGCTTTTTTTTTTTCAATAGGGTCTTCCTATATAGACCAGCATGACCATGAACTCGCAATCCTCCTACCTCAGCCTCTTGAGTGCTGGGACTACACATCCATTAGGCCTGGCAAATTGCTAGGTTTTTTGAGAATAATGGTATGGTGGAGCTGGGCATGGTGGTGCGTGCCAGTGATCCCAGCACTTGGGAGGCTGAGGCAGGAGGAACACCATGAGTTTGAGGACAGGCTGGGCTACATATTGAGTTTAAGGCTAGTCTGAACTAAATAGCAGTGGTTTGTCTCAAAAAAACAAAACAAATAAATGTATGATGGTTACAATTTTTTAAAAATTCTTATTTAATAAATACATACTGAAATACTAAAGTGTGGAGGTATAGTCAAACACGACGGCTCATGAGTTCACACTCAGTCAAACTGGATGATATTAGACGGAGTTCATTCTTCTCTTTTTAAAAAAATGTTTTAGAAATTTTTCATAAGGGTTTTTTTTTAATCACTTAAAAAGGCTCCTTGGATTGTTTACTTTTAGTTTTTACTTCTGTGGTACTGGGGACTGAATCTAAGACCTTCACACTGAGCTGCATCCCC